AGCAGCAGCAGCAGCAGGCGCTGCAGCAGCAAAAGCAGCAGCAGCTGAGATGGCGGCAGCAAGAGCAGCAACTGACACAGGCTAGGGACGCCACAGCAGCAGCAGCAGATGCTGCAGCAGCAGCAGCAGAGGGGGCAGCAGCGTCACCAAATGGCGAGCCCCTGCCCAAGAACATTAACTACAGCTCCCCGCTGCAGCAGGACTCATTTGCTGCCGATGACAGCAGCAGCAGCAGCTGCTGCTGCTGCAGCACAGAGACTCAGCAAAGACCATACGGCGCGGCGCAGCAGCAGCAGCAGCAGCAGCAGCAGCACGGCGCAGATGGGGTGGCGTCTGAAGCAGCGCCAGGGTTTGCTGCTGCTGACGCAGCAGCAGCAACAACAGCAGCAGCAACAGCAACAGCAACAGTACCCGAGCCGGGTGCCGCGCAGGCAGCACCCGCAGCGCCGGCAGCAGCAGCAGCAGCAGCAACAGCAGCAGCAGCAGACACCATTCGCTGCCGGCTGCCTGCGCAGTGCTTCGTTTCTGCCTGTGTCTTCTGCATGCCGCCGCTGCAGCCGCAAGCAGCAGCAGCAGCAGCAGCAGAATCTCTCTTTGGGCTTTTCGATTTGCTGCTGTTGCCGTACCGCCTGCGCAAGCTCACTCATTGGCTTGCTGCTGCTGCTGCTGCTGCGCGGCCTCTCTTTGGCAACGACCAGCAGCAAACAGCAGCAGCAGCAGAAAGTAGCAGCAACGGCAGCAGCAGCGACAGCGGCGGCGGCAGCAGCAGCGGCAGCGGCAGCAAGCGTCGCGAGCCGTGGGCAGAAGGGGAGCAGCAGCAGCAGCAGCAGCAGCAGGGCATTGATGGTCCTGCTGCTGCTGCTGCACCACTGCTTCCAGCAGCGCCGACGACAGCAGCGCGAACAGCAGCAGCAACAACAGCAGCAGCAGGACCCCCGGCGCTGCTGCTTTGCTGTCCGTGGTCGCTGCAGGAGCAAATCCTGCTATGCGCGCAGCAGCTGCAGCAGCAGCTGCAGCAGCAGCAGCAGCAGCAAATTGTTTCTTCCTTATCTCTTTCAATTTTTATGGCTCACAACTCCCTGCAGCTCAGGAAGGTTTCCTTATCTGCTGCTGCGTTGACAGCAGCAGCAGCAGCAGCGGGAGGCACTTCTCCTGACCCCGACAGCAGCAGCAGCAGCAGCAGCAGCAGCAGCAGCAGCGCTGCTTCGAGCGTCCCCGAGACCGATTTGAAGCCTCCCCTGCCACGGCGGCAGCAGCGGCCGCCCCCGCAGCAGCAGCAGCAGCAGCAGCAGCAGCAGCAGGACTGGTGGCTGCTGGAAGCAGCAAACCCTGGGGGCCTTCGAGAGGCCTGGAGCCGCAGCGATGTGCTGCTGCTGCTGCAGCTGCTGCGGGTCCCTTCTTTGGTTTTTGCTGCTGCCGACGATCCCCTCACAAGTTCCTACGTAGACGTATTTGCTGCAGCTAGGTAAACCCTAAACCCTAAACCCTAAACCCAAAACCCTCGCTGGAAACCCTAGGCGCTCGAAAAGCAGAGGATGAGCGACAGAGGAAGCCCAAATGCAGCGCGGAGGCTTCAGGGTTTAGGGTTTAGGGTTTGAGGTTTAGGGTTTAGGGTTTAGGGTTTAGGGTTTAGGGATTGTGCGCTGCAGAAACCCCAGTCTAGGGTTCGCGCTGCTTCAGTCTGGAGGCCATGTGCTGCAGCTGGCAGGTAAGCGAAGCATCCACTCCTCGAGGGTTTAGGGTTTAGGGTTTAGGGTTTAGAGTTTAGGGTTTAGGGTTTGGGGCTTAGGGTCTAGGGTTTAGGGTATAGACGTTGAGGGCTTGCCACTTTTTTGTGTCTGCTTCTCCTTCGGCGCTTCGCGCCTACAGA